TTGCGTCCCGGACCCGGTGGCTTAAAACTCACACCGGGCGCGTGTGGGTGCGTGCCCAAGATCCCGAGAAGAGAATGGAGGAGAAGGGATTGCAGCGTGACCATGCCCCGTGGGGGGTGATTTCTCGCTTCTTTCTGTCTCTCTTTGTCTGGTGAGCGCACACGCCCTATAGCAAAAAAATAATAATAATAAAATAAAAAAATTAAAAAAATAAAAAAACCTTTAAAAAAAAAAGAAAACACAGATGGCAGACCTGGGTATATGCTGATTTTTCAAGAAATACTTTCAAATGAGTTCTTACCTAGTGAACCAATTTTCATTTGTTGATCATATTTCACACAGAAGCTTAATATTTTTCTACGAAAAATAATACTTTTATTGTGGTGAATGTATTCTGCTGGATAATGAAGCACCATTTGTAACGAGTCCCTCTGTTTTCTATAGGTGGATAAGTGGAGCAGCGGTAGTCAATGCATTTTACTCTTCAGGCAGAAATCAGATAGGTAAGGTGAATTTCTAAATCATTCTTGAACATTTCTCCATTGTTCTCAACTCATAGGGTACTGTATGACTAATTTACAGAGCCCTGCCCCAACGCTTGGCTGAAATGGAGCTGTGGGTTTATGGCATCTGCTTCTTGAAAGTATCCATGCATCTCTTTTCACTAAAAATGGGAACATGTACATTAAGGACAAATTGCATTAAGTGTTTTTGTTTCGTTCACAATATTTTCATTTGTAACTAAAATGGTGTATCTTACTTCTAAGACCTTTTCAACGTCCCTTAAATATATCTCTATAAAATTATATTGGCTTTAAGATTTAGTAAGCTGATCAACAGCTAGAATAGTTTAAGATTCCAAGAGATAAATGTTCACAGATCCAATTCTGGCAATTTTGGGTACTGGGTTTGGGAGACGGTCTGATTCCATGTCATCTTTATCCCGAAAGCTTCCATGAAGTTCAGAAAGTTGCAAATCCAATTATATTAGGTTGAACTATTAATATATGAAATTGTATTTACCTAACCACTGTTGGTCAAAAAGAAAAAAATAATTCTGCTCACTAATAGTAATATCACAGAAATATGTACAAAATTAATAATGAATGGATGATATAATGAATGACTGGATGCTTTAATATAACAAAGATATGTATTTTTTCTCTTCCTGGGAAAGCCTAGGCATCTTAAAACTTCATTTCTCTAAACTTACAAATGGGTCATTTTATTTCAAAGAGTTTTTAGCATCTAGAAGAGTACCCAACTGATTCAGCACTGCCAGAGGTACTTTAAACCAGCAGTGGAGCAGGCTTCTTCAGAAACACTTGGTGACCAGATGCATTCAGCCTAACCCCTTATTTCTTTTTTTTTCTTTTTCCTTTGGAGAGGTTTTTGCTATAGGGCGCATGCGCTTGCCAGAAAGACAGAGACAGAGAGACAGAAAGTGAGAAATCACCCCCCAGGGGGGATGGCCATGCTGCAATCCCTTTTCCTCCATTCTCCTCTCGGGATCTTGGGCACGCACGCACACACGCCTGGCATGAGTTTAAGCCACCGGGTTCGGGACTTGAACCACGGTCAACTACATGGTAGTCCAGCTACATAGCCATTACTAACTGCTGGTCCCCAGCCCCTTATTTCTAAATGTGATCTAGAATATGCACTCAGCCAAGCCTCTTATTTCTAAATGTAGTCTAGAATCAAGAAAGAAGATCATCTCAGCATGATTCGAAACTATTCTTTTTACATCTGAGTCTCTACTAGGCTGAATTTCTTGAATTCTGTTACCACTTAGATTAGAAACTATGAAAAATTCCACAGGCTATTTATTATTAATTAAAAAGCAACCTTAAGGGACCAGCAGATGATGTCATGGTTTTGTCACTAGACGCCCACATGGGCAACTGCACATGGTTCAAGTCCTGGGTGCGGTGGCTTCAAACTCACGCTGGGTGTGTGTGCATGCATGCCCCAGAACCTGAGAAGAGACTGAAGGAGAAGGATTGTGGTATGGCCATCCCCCCTGAGGGGTGATTTCTTGCTTTCTGTCTCTCTCTGTCTACTACATTTTCTTTTAGTAGTCTAGTATTCTTGCAGTTGCTATTTTTAGAGTAACACGTTAAGCCACCTAGAATTTACTTTAGTAAATGACTTGAACATGAATTATATAATCAGAAAATATTGTCTTCATATAATATATAGGTAATAAGTAAGATATGTACACTCAGGTTAAAGTCAGTTAGCTCAAAGTCTAGGATAATATGTTTTCTGGTGAGGGAAATGATTATCTAAACTCAGACCAGAACCTGCTTAATGATCAACTCCTTGGAATCCATGAAGTCAATCCTCTGTAATATATTCCTAAAACTATTCTGATATTTTATTAGAAATGCCTTTAACTCTGGAAGAGCTCCACTTTGAAGACCTCTTTTCAATAACCAAGAGTTCTATCAGTGTATAATCTAGTTCATTTTCACTGAGACTAGATTTTACACTGATACTCAAACCAGATGATTAACTTTCAACGGAATCTCAAGACCTCATCAGGCAATCTCGACACTTAGTTCTTCATTAGGGCAAACTAAGGGGGAGCATCATTTCAGTACAGCTCAGGGAAGACCCTGGATCCTGTCAGACCCAATGCTGATCCGTCCTTGGGAGAGGAGCGAATCCTCTGTGGGACTCTGGTGCCTTCATCCCTCCAGCACTCCTCTAGGTCAGGCCCAGGAGTTTATGTCAAGGTGGAACCTTGTTTAACTCTGAATTATCCCAGATCACTGGAAAGGGCTCAAACTAAGTCTTTGTCAGAGACTCTGTGATCAGAGAAGAGCTGAGAATGTTCTCACTTGGAGTTTAATGTCCTCAAGCTAAACAAGCATGTAGCCAAAGAAACAAGGAGGCGAAAGTGGCCTATGTCCTCACTAGGTAAGCCCTTATTCCTTGAATAATCAAGAATGTATTACAACGAACATTTTTAATACATAAAGACCTTTGAAAAGTTCTAAGCTGATAAAAATATGAAATAAGAAAACCCGTTAACATCTCGACTGCTAATAACAGTTCAGAGAAGGAGAACGTGTCACGCAAGAGGGGAAATGTTTGAAATGTGTACTTTTTCTTTTTGACAGTTAATTTACATCTTCAAAGTGGGGATTGTCTTCACTAAAAATAATTGAAGATTCAGATCTTCATCTTTCTCCTTTGGTGGAAACGTGTGTCTCTGTGTGTATAAATACACATGTACTTACATATCTTCTGCACTGGTGTCTTACTAGATTGGTATGATGTCCACTACAAAATTAGAGTTGTTATAGAATTGCATATGCCATATAAATGACCCCTACAAAGATATACAAATACTTTACACTGGATTGCATGCAGTTGCTCATGGGATTGGTTTTGTGTTCTAGAAACAACTTTATCTTATAATATGGTGAGTTACTCGTATCTGTAATTTCTACTTTTTAGTCATACCATTTTTTGTAGACCTCACACACATAGAGGCTATCCCAGTTTCTATGTACCACCTCCCACCACCACGTTACATGAGCAGAATGTCCCTTTCTAGGATACTAAAGTGTTAAATTGACTCTCCTTCTTTTTGCACATTTGCTACAAGGAGCTCTAGCAGCCTCACAGACTGTGCCATGGGAATGCTGCATTTGAACGTTTCCTCAAATGTGTCTCTGTAAGTTCCAGGCATTAGTCAAACATCTTACTAAAACTTAGTATCTTGAGCAAGTGAGATAGTCTTACTGTTGTTCTGTTCTTTTTTCCTTAAAGTTGTGGTATAACTCTTTTAAGTCATTTTTTTTTCAATTTCAGAAATGTATTAAAAGTATGTAGTATATGCAGCCCGTGTGAGATAATTCTAGTTTCTTAATGGTCTTCTTTATTTTTAAGACTATTATTTTCAAACTCGGACATCAAAATGTTAATGTTTCCAAATGTGGGAACTTCGTTGAATAAAACAAGAATGTGGAATGATTTTCCACCAAAAAGTATTACCTGACTGTAAACTTGAACTTGATATGAAATTTTCTAAAATTGAATTATTTGCAGCCTTAAAAAAAAAAATTAACCAGGAAAACTGCAGTGGAGGTGTAAAGTCTTCAGAGGGGGACGAAGAGACACAATGTTTTTCGTTTCCTAGACCAGTGACTTAACTTCATTAACTAACTTGTTGATAATCATAAACATAAAAAGGGCACAACTTAGCAGTTGGTTATAAACAACAGTTGTGAACTCTGCTAGTAACAGCAGGAAGGCTAAAGGGGAAAATCCTCGTTCCAGAGATTTAGCTGACAAAGTGAAAGGGGAGATGATACTTGGCAAAGTTGAATTTGAAGACTAGTAGTTAATATGAGCCATAAAAGTCTTATCACTTGCCTGGAGAATGACATATCAGGGTATAATTAAAGCAGCAGGATCTTTCTAGTTAATGTTTAGTCTTGATAGCACGTTTCATAAGAGCATTTTATATAATGGGTGGATTTTAATCAAAGTACATAGTGTGGGAGATAGTGTTCGCTTTAAGTTAATAAAGTACTGCACATCATTTTTAGACTTGAAGCTAAAAATAATTTCTTGGCACTGTTTAGCTGAGGCAGCTACATGTGAGGTATAACTTTCATCGAAATTCTCTAAGGATGGAAGTTTGTTTTGTTTTGTTTTTGTTTTTAATGGCCATTTTGTCATTTGAATGTCATGGCAACTAGCCAAAAATGATTTTAAAAGTCTAGGGAACAATCAGATTGCTCAGAGTATTTTCATAGTCTCCTCTGTAAATAGCTAATATTTATCCCTGAAATCCATGCAAGGTTATGCTTCATTCAGTCTATCTCAAAGACAAAGAGGCAACGTGGTTATTCTGTGTTGGTTAAATCTTAACTGTCTAAGGCCGGGGCCCTTCTCAATGTATAGATAGATATACATATGCAGTGACTACACACATAGCTTGCTAAGGACCCAGGATTTTGCAAGTAGTAGATGCTGATACTAAAGATTATAGAACATAATGTTTTAGTTACTGGCCAAACACTAGAGTTTTAAAATACAAAAGATAAAATTACTGAACTGTGAACGGTATTCAAAAGGTTGGTGGGAAATGCACTTTACAAAAATCTTCTGCATGACTCCAAAAGTTTTACACCAAAACAAATTATACTTTAATTTCATTTTTCCACAGATTTTTAAAAGTCACCTCAAGTAGGGATCAGCAGATGGTGTAATAGCTATGGCACTGGACTCCCATGTAGTCAACCATAGTTCGAGTCCCAGACCTGATGGCTTAAACTCAAGCCGGGTGCGTGTGCATGCGTGCCCAAGATCCCAAGGGGAGAACAAAGGAGAAGGGATTGCAGCATGGCCATCTCCCCTGGGGGTGATTTTTTGCTTTCTTTCTCTCTCTCTCTCTCTCTCTCTGTCTTTCTGGTGGACGCACATACCCTATAGCAAAAACCTCTCCAAAAACAAGTCCCCTCAAATCAAAAAAGGAAAGAAAAATCATCATTAATTTTAATTTCTTTCTAAAGTCAACCAGCCAGGAGCCTCCTCTAAATAACATGGTCCTGAAACAATGGTTTTATTTTTAGAGAGAGTGTGTATTTTTGCTATAGGGCGCATGCACTCACCAGAGACACACAGAGAGAAAGTGAGAACTCAACCCTCGGGGGGGGGATGGCCACTCTGCAGTCCCTTCTCCATTCTCTTCTCAAGATTTTGGGCACACCCAGCATGAAAACTCCCAAAAAAAAAAAAAAAAAAAAGGAAAGAAAAATCATCATTAATTTTAATTTCTTTCTAAAGTCAACCAGCCAGGAGCCTCCTCTAAATAACATGGTCCTGAAACAATGGTTTTATTTTTAGAGAGAGTGTGTATTTTTGCTATAGGGCGCATGCACTCACCAGAGACACACAGAGAGAAAGTGAGAACTCAACCCTCGGGGGGGGGATGGCAACTCTGCAGTCCCTTCTCCATTCTCTTCTCAAGATTTTGGGCACACCCAGCATGAATTTCAGGCCACCAGATCCAGGACTCGAACCATGGTGGCCATATGGGAGTCCAGCACCTTACCCACTATGCCACCTGCTGACCCCTTTTTATAGAGGCATGAGAGCATGAACCAGGATGGTTGCAGGAAGACTGACAACAGATAAGTAAGAGATGCCCCTGGAAGGAAGGTACATCACCCGGTCTTCGCCTAAGCAGATCGTAAGAGACTGTTAAAGGGAGACATCTAAAATAACTGGAAATGCCCACTGTGGGTGACTGAGACCCTACAGGTGCCATTAGGAGAAATAATACTATCAAGCCAGTGATGACTTAGAGGGAAAATGAGTCTGAGGTTTGACACAATAAATTTAAAATGTTTGTGAGTCCTTTAAATGGAGGAAGTTAGCAAGTTGATGCAGTGATCTGGAGCAACATATAAAAACTACAATTTACTTATCAAACTTTAGGATCTCTTATAAATCAGGATGATTCATTCTTTTTTTTATCATTCATCATTCATTTAATCAACACATTCCCGAGCACTGATTATGTTTCAGGCATGGTTACAGTTTTAGGTACTGAAGATAAAGAACTAAGAAGGCAACTGAATCAGGTTCAGCCCTTGGTATGGTGGGTAAGGTGGCTGATCCCATGTGGCTGACTGCACGGTTCTTGTCCCAGACCTGGCAGCTTGAGGAATATACAGGGCACATGTGCATGTGTACCCAAAATCCTGAAAGGAGGGGAAAATGGAGGAAAAAGAATTGTGGTGTGATCATTCCCCACAAGGGGTGTTTTCTCTCTTTTCCCCTTCTCTCTCTCTCTTTCTATCTGTCTCTCTGATGAGCACATGCTTCCTCTAGCAAAATTAAAAAAAAAAAAAAAAGAAAATAGACACAAACAGATGTATTTAGAGACACACAGATCTCTGCTCACAAAGAGTTAATACTAGAGGTGTGGGGAGGAAGTGGTACAGACAGGGGAAAAAAAGACTCCAGTCATAATGAAAGAAAAAAACAGAATATATTGGGAACAGCAGATGGTGTAGTGGCTACATTGCTAGACTCCCATGTAGTCAACCACGGTTCGAGTCCCAGACCCAGTGGCTTAAACTCATGCTGGGTGCATGTGTGTGCATGCCCAAGATCCCAAGAAGAGAATGGAGGAGAAAGGATTGTGGCATAGCCATCCCCCGGGAGGTGAGTTCTCACTTTCTGTCTCTCTGTCTCTGTCTTTCTGGCGAGCACATGCACCCTATAGCAAAAACCTCTCAAAAAAGAAAGAAAGAAATAATATAAGGTAGTTATAGATGTCTCAATGAAAATAAAATAAGGTTATGTGGTTGACTATTACCTTGAATTGAGGGACTATATGGATGTTAAAGCACTATATGGATAAAACTTTTAAAGAGAGCATTAAACATAATACTTGTGTATTGAGTAACTGTTTCTTTCAAGTTTTTTCAAGGGAAAAAGAACCCTCTGGATGAAGATTATATTTTCTCCTTGCTCCAGACCTTTATCACATAAAACAATCCTAAAAATGAATAAATAGTGTAAAGTGAGTTGTGACTATAAATTATAGATTATGGCACTACTCCAAGATAACTCTTTGTTGTCATCAATAATTAAAGACCTGCATTTGTTTCTTTCACAGAAGATTTCTGTATATGCCTAAGTGAAACTGACATAGCGGGAAGCAACTAAGCCAGCAAGAAGCCTGCCTCCGTGCAATACTGCCATAAATAACCTTTAACCGTCTTATCTCCCTGCAGTCTTCCCAGCTGGCATTCTGCAGCCCCCCTTCTTCAGTGTCGGACAGTCCAACTCATTGAACTTTGGGGGCATCGGCATGGTCATAGGACACGAAATCACCCATGGCTTCGATGACAATGGTAAAGTCCAGTTGACGTTCGCCTTTGGCTGAGAGAGAGCTTTGTACATTCGGTTAAAAATCATAAAAGTCTGTCATCTATATATTAATGGCCTCATTTTCCACATGCTTCCAGTGCTTAATTGCTGCTTAAGAAGATCAAAAATTTCTGATAATGAGGTCAGCAATGTGTGCCTTCCACTCTGACAAAATAAAGCAGATATTCACAATAGAAAATACATGATGTTGTCAATACCAGCAGTGGCTAGTTCTCGGTCTTATTTCATGATGGTATGATTGACTTCATCAGTGTCTTAGAGGGCAAGGGTCCATGTCCATACCTTACAATCAGATGTAGAATCAGAAAGTATTGCTTATCCACGAGCCCACGAGACCCTTCAGCTGCATGTAGTCAGGGATTTTTTTCCCATCTTGGACCTGCTACCCAGATCAGGCCTTTGTAAGGAGTAGGCACTTAAATGTTTATATGCTGCTCTAAATGCCAAGGCAAATTTATTTTTTCAGTGAATGCTGACAGGAATAGAAGCCATGAACTATGTAAAAAAGTGATGGTTGAAGGTAAGTCATAAGTCACAGTTCACAGGTGAAATGGTAGTAGGATTAGAGTAAAAGAGTAAAAATAGATAAGCCTTAGAACCAACGTTAGAGAGCCAGAGAAAGAAGAAGAGGCAGGAAGAGTACGATTTTTTTTTAAAGGCTTGCCAAATATCAATTAACTCAAACTATGCAGCTATTTTTTTTTTTTTTTTTTTTTGGAGAGGTTTTTGCTATAGGGTGCGTGCGTTCGCCAGACATACAGAGAGAGACAGAGAGACAGAAAGCAAGAAATCACCCCTAGGGGGCGGTGGCCACGCTGCAATCCCTTCTCCTCCATCCTCCTCTTGGGATCTTGGGCACGCACGCACACGTGCCCAGCATGAGTTTTAAGCCACCGGGTCCAGGACGCGAACCGCAATCGACTACGTGGGAGTCCAGCGACATAGCCATTACACTAACTGCTGGTCCCAAAAACTATGCGGCTATCTTCACAAGTGGGTACTAATACTATTTCTGTTTTTAAATGGAAAAAAAAATAAGGACACATGAAAGAGTTGCAGAAAAGTAAAAGTTAGGAACTGGTGCAGTAAAGCTGTAAGTTCAAATAGTTTGATTTCATTGCCCTTACCTTCCAAATTCCCTACATAAGGGAAAAACATTTTTAAATGATTCTATTGGGTTGTCAAGAAAGTCATGGCATCATTTTCTATATTTTTCTATGCAAAAATGCATTATGACTTACCAGATGACCCAATATTAAGAGCCAAACTATGTGGGCAGAGAAGCTCCTGGAGTTAAAGGGGCCTTTTTCTTTTTGCTTGAAGTAGAGGGAAACTAAGAGTCCTGCAGTCTCATGAAGAATATGGTCGTCTGAAATGAATGGTCTTTTAAAATTGTCAAAATATCAAATTAAACAGACTTGGTTCAAGTGGAAATCATCAAACAGAACAGGGTGTGATTTCTGGATGTTTTATCTGGTGGCTTTATCTGAGATATATCAGAAGCCAAGTAGGTGAAATACCAAGGTCAACACTAGAGCACATTAACAAAGAAAGCTTTGACAGTCTGGACTTCCCCACCTCGGTGGAAGAGGAAGGATTGCAGTGTCTCCCATCATCTGTCCAATTGAATGCTCTTACATAATAGTATTTCAGTCCTTGCCCTTTGAATTGAAGACATCTTAATATAATTCTTGTTGTCATGAGTTCCCATTTTACTTAAGTAAATGTATTACAGGCAGAAACTTCAACAAGGATGGAGACCTCGTTGACTGGTGGACTCAACAGTCTGCAAAGAACTTTAAAGACCAGTCTCAATGCATGGTGTACCAGTACGGAAACTTTTCCTGGGACTTGGCAGGTGGACAACATGTATGTCACTAGCATTCTCTCCAAATGTTTTGGATAAGTTCAGTCTTTACTTCCTCACTTCAGACTGATCATTTGCCAAACCTTTCATAACAAGGTTCAAGAGGGGCACATTTCACACAGTGGTGTGAAAACCCAGTCATAACACTTATGAACCACAAAAGGATCAATATGTTCAACTTTAAGTGAATTATTCATGTTTTTCTTAACAATCCTAATAAAGCATCTTTTTTTTTTTAAAACAGCTCAATGGAATTAATACACTAGGGGAAAACATTGCCGATAATGGAGGTATTGGTCAAGCATACAGAGTGAGTAATAATACTTTATTTCCATTTTAATGATTGGTATGTTTATCATATTTAGTCATTCACTTCAAGTCTTTTGCAAAAGAGACAGATAAACAATAAACAATGAATAGAAAATGAGCAATATATGGGGAAGAAAGGGATTATAACTACATCAACCACCAGAGTTGGTACAGTTGATGTGACAGAACTGAACACCAGTCTCTTAAATTTCCAAAAGGGAAAATGGGAAGCATGGAGTGTTGTAGCAACAGAAATAAGGAGCTAATGCAGGTTCCACAGAAGGGGCAATACGTGTGTGTGTGTGTGTGTGTGTGTGTGTGTGTGTGAGTGTGACAGGATGTGTGCACTCACCAGTGAGGAACAGTGCAAGAAGGAAAAGAGAAAGCACCCCTGTCTTTCCCTCTTTTTGGAATTCTGGACACAAATGCCACAGCGGGTGATTCTCAAGCTGCTGGTCTGGAACTCAAACCGTGGTGTCAGCTGTGTGGGATTCAGCTGCCTTAAACACCAGGCCATGGAGCAGGCTCATGGAAACATTTTTCTGTGAAATAATCTCTGAAATACTTTTTTGGAGAATATGCCCCACAAGAAGGATGAGTTCAGGGTTCGGTGACCTGCTCATCAATGGCCTGATGAACAGGCCCCTCAGCGTTTGGGACCATTAATCAGCATAAACCACTGGCATAATAGTAAACCACTGTCTGTCTACAGTGATTCAATACGGAACTGTGGTTCCAGCTTGTGGCCTTGTTGTCAATCAAACTATCGCACCCAGAGAATTATCAATGGAGCATCCCTTAACTCTCATTTAGCCTTCCATTCTTCCTTGCATTTGGCAAATACTTAATAAGGGCCAGACTATGGGTTTGGCAAACTCTAGGTGCTGGATATATAGCAATGAACTCTCCATAAAAGATGTCCCTAGTTGATGATCTGAGCAAGGATGAAAGGATAGCCCAGTGGATTCCATGTGCACAAGAAAAAGTAGGTGTTTTCACAAAAGAGTGGAAGATTGATGTTTTGGTAACAACATGATTTTGAGGGCTTCTCCGAACCCTGAGGTAGGCCCCATGAGGGATAGGCTAGAACCAGGTTTCTTTAAGACAAGAATGAATGGAATATTCAGTAGAGTGGATGAGGATTTAAGGTTAGTTGTTGGGTCAGGGAAGGGGGGAGGCTAAGTGAAGGGAGAGATGAATAGTGGTGCCTTGTGGGAGGGGTCTGATTTGGCAGTGGTCAAGGATGATCATAGCATGAGGCTCGAGAGAGTAAGTCAGCTCTTTAAAGAATGAGTCCCAGCCATTATTTTGGAATAACAGATTACTGCTTCTTTGAGTGCTTGGTAATTTGGTGTCTTTTTTTCTGAATACCAGACACTCTTTTACCTCTCCAGGTGCTGGATAATTTTTATTTTCCTTCAAATATTGTTTTTCATGTTTTAAAAAAAGTTTAGTTTTAAGACTGAGTGAGAAAGACAAGAGAGAAAGAGACAGCACTCCAAATAGGATCTTGATGCCACAATCTAGTTCCAGCCTCAGCAAGTCCCAGATCATGGGCATGTGCATTCAGCACCCTCAGGGAGGTCTCCAGATGCGAACCCAGAACCTTCCCACGTGGGTTAACCTCGCACGGCTTCGCATTTTCCTGCTGCATCACTACCTGACCCCAGTCAATATTCTTGAGCCTTATCTGGGATAGTGTGAAATCCCTTGGAAAGGGTATGACCTTTTGGGATCTTGTTTAAACAAATTTGTTAGGTGGGACTGAGACAGTCCTTAAAGACACTTATTCTCCACTGCTAAGGCAAGATCTTCCTGTGGGAATCCTGAGGCTTTTCATTCTTGTCCTATATGAGCACCATGCACTGTGATTTCTAAACGTTTGGGTATCTTTTTCACTAAAATTGCACAGTTTGCTCACATATACCTCGGAATTAATACTCAGCCAAATAAGTGAAGGTAATCATCTGTGATCTCTGACATTCTCTTTTTCTGTGATTCCCTCCTTTTTGATAACCTGTCCTTGGTGTCCCTGAACTCTCAGCTTCTTTTCCTCAACTCACAATGTCCCTCAGGCTCCAACCATGTTTTCCTCGCTACTTCGTGGCATGAAAATCTTCTGGACAAAAATCAGGGCAGCTATAGGACTCACTTCAGTCATCACCCCTCAGGAATTATACTCTTTTTTTTTTTTTTTTCCTACTATCCAGTGTTACACAAACTGTTGCTTCATATATTTGTGCATGACCGGATCGTTTCAGTGGGAAGCTAAATCCAGTTCCTATCACTTTTCTTATTTTTTTTTTTTACATTTAATCACTGTCTGTATTTACAGTGTACAACATCGTTCTCCCAGCATGAATACACTGCATATTAGTCAAGTCAGAGACATTGCCATATACATGAGCATCAACAGATAACTTTTCATTTTTGTGTCTCTTACATGTTCTGTCTTTCCCTGTCATTCCATCTTGACTGGGAAGGGAAGGCAATAGCACTCTTAAATGTCCCATGATGATTCTAATATATATCCAGATTGAAAAATCACTGCTATAAAAATCTAAGCAAAGTTTGGGTTGATGGTACTTCCATGGAGATCCTCACCTAGAGCAAGTTCAGAATTGTAACAGTGAAACGAAATACCATCGTGTAGATATTTCATTACACTTTGGAATACATGGATTCTTAACATGAAATGCCTTGCCCCCCTTGCTGTTACAGGTTGTAAGCTCCTAAGAGGGAGCAGGCACAAGCTTTTCCCATGTCCTCCATATTTTTACATTGTAGAGACTCATTAAATGGATGTGATGGCGAGTATGAAGAAATCTGTTTATCTAATTTGCCACCTTCCTTTGCATTAATTTGGAAATGATACAGTTCAAAAAGTTTATTATCAAACCCTTTCTTCACATATTTAATAGAGGAAAGCTACATTTTTTTTCAGTAGTGTTTATAAATCCTTCAGAATTAGGAACATTTTTTGACATTCAGGTTTCCTAAATTCTTTCCTTCTAATGTATCTTTGAAAAAATCTATTTCCTCCTGTTTTCATGGCACCAAAACAGTTGCTTGTCCTTATTCTTAGAGTCACAGGATACTAGGCCTCTAAGAGATCTCAAGAGAATCTTTTAACTTTGGCAAGAATCACTCACACTAAGTCTAGTCTGTTTTGCTAATAGTAGTAGCTAAGCTAAATATAGCAATTGCAGATGCTCTTGGCAATCCATTCATCTAACTGGCTGAAGTTATCTATCTATCTATAGAACAACATTTAGATAAACTTTTCATGACTTATTTAAGCCATCCATTCATACAACTGACATTTATTAATCATCTGACATGTGTCAGGTTCTTGGCATCTGCTAATCAGTATCCTGTTCTTTTCTGAGCATTCATAAATAAATTCTAGTTTCCTTTCTATGAAAGAATACATAAAATAATTGTAAGTTGAAATATCTAAATGTATCATTGTGAGGACTTTGATGTAAAGACTTAATAACTTGGCTATCTGATCTTTTGCGTTGATTCATATATAAATTTAGAAATCATAAACATTGTATTTTTATTTTGTTCACTGCATAGGCCTATCAGAATTATATCAAAAAGAATGGGGAAGAAAAACTACTTCCTGGACTTGACCTAAATCACAAACAACTGTTCTTCTTGAACTTTGCCCAGGTATTGTGTATTTCTTGATTGATAGATATGAAAATCACTTTGAGTTAGAATTTCATTGTAAGTTAGATAATGCATGATGAATTTTCTTGTTTTAATCAATTGTGGCAGAGCATTTGACTTGACTAACTTTCATTGTTTAGAACAGACTGTCAGATCATATTAATTATAAATAGTTATGTTTCTGGTTGCCTATCATTGAACAGTATTTGAAGAGTTGGTTAAGGAATACAGCATTCCAATTTGATTTTGCTTTCAAACCCCTGCACCTGCCCAAATGGATAATCCTTGATTAAGCCTAAGCACACTGCTTTGCTTTTCCTATTATCCCTAGGTTTGGTGTGGAACCTACAGGCCAGAGTATGCCATCAACTCCATTAAAACAGATGTGCACAGTCCAGGCAATTTCAGGTATGTGGGTATGAAGAGCAGACTAGGTACTCCAATATTGGCTCCTTACTTCCCATTTGGAATTTGGCCTTTTCTAACTGTTATTCTTTAACACTTAGAAATCCATAGGACCAGCAGTTGGTATAATGGCTATGTCACTGGACTTCCATGTAGTCAATCGTGGTTTGAGTCCTAGATCTTGTGGCTTAAACTCATGCCGGCCACATATGCATGTGTGCCCAAGATCCCGAGAGAAGAATGGGGAAGAAGAGACTGTGGCATGGCCATTCCCCCTGGGGGGGTTATTTCTCACTTTCTGTCTCTCTGGCAAGTGCACACACCCTACAACAAAAGTCTCTAGAGAAAAAAAAAAAGAGAGAGAGAGAGATTTGGGGCACGTACATACATGCAGCCAGTGTGTTTTTTTGGCTACTGGGCCCTCACAGTCAGCCATGTGAGTTCCAGCTGCCTTAAACACTAGCCAACAACTAGCCCTGTGTCTCACTCTCTTTTTAAAATTTGACAGAGGGTGCATGTGCTCATTAGAGAGAGACAGAGAGAAAAAGAAAGCCAGCCATGGGGAATGGTCACATTGCAATCCCTTCTCTCTTTTTCTCCCTCTGGTTGACATTGGGCACGCCCACACACGTGCTTGTTGTTTTTATCTAACCAACTGGCCTATGACTCAAACCACACAGTCAGCCACGTGGGATCTAGCCACCCCAACCACCCTGCCATGGGTTCATCCAAACTTGTTTTAATATTAACATTGAATCTTAACTACTGGGTTAAAACTTCTCTGTTTAAAATACACTTTCTACCTCATGTCTTAACACAGTCTTCTGAACAAATCAGTCATTAATTCTGGTTTTACCGTTTATTAATTTAGTGAAATCCTCAAAATCTGTAGTGTGGTAGTATTTATTTCCGCATCAGTGATGCTGTTTGACTTCTCGATTTGGCTTCTATTAGGCTTTTTCTTCCAGTAGTCTCCCTTATCACACAGCTTTGCTTTCTGTGGTTCAGTTGCCCATGGCATAGTACCATAAGGCAGTATTTAGGGAGAGAGAAAGAGTGAGAAAGACCACATTATCATAGTATATTGTTATAATTGTTCTCTTTTTAAATTAGTCATTATTGTTCTTTCTTTTTTGTTTTAATTTTTGGAGAGCACATGTGCTTGCCAGAGACAAAGAGACAGAGGGAGAAAGCAACCCTCAAGGTGCATGCCACAATCCCTTTGCCTCCATTTCTCCATCCTGTTAGAATTTGGGGCACAAATGCACATGCACCCAGCAGGTGTTTCAAGCCACTGAGGCTAAGATTTAAATCACGGTTGTTCATATGGAATCTGGCTCCTTTAACCGCTAGACTACGGGGCCTGTTTATTGACCTGTTTGTTGTTTATCTTTTACTATGACTAATTTACAAGCTACACTTCATGATAGGTACATATGTATAGGAAGAAAACCTAGTATATGTAGGTTCTTTACTACCTGAGGTTTTAGGCATCCGCTGAGATCTTAGAATGTATTCCCCATGGGGAAGAGAAGACCCCTCTATGTTTCTTTCTTTCCCATTTGTCTTTCCTATTACGATATTACCATCCCATCCTTCTCTTCTAGTAACTCAGAAAGAGTATTTCCCTTCTACAGTAAAAATGAATGCATGTTTTGAAGTAAGAAACATTTGAATTCAACCCTGGCTCTCCCATTTAGTAGCTGTTACTCAGTGCCTCTGTGCCTCAGTTTCTTGGTATGTAAAATGAAGATTCCGTTGTTGGAGGACTCATTTAATGCACCTATTACACATCTGTGTTTGAAAATTAGTTCTAAGATTGTTTTTAGATAAGAGGTATGAATAGAATAAGAATTCCTGTGACAAAGGGTAATGAACTTTGCAGTGCTTCCGTATCAGCTCACAGTGAAGGGCTTTTTGTTCCTGTCTTCCGATGTTCTCCATATTTAGAATGTCGGTGACCGGGTACTGGTGAAGTCGTATGTAAGTAACTATTTTCTAGTCCCAATGTAAAGCGGAAAGCAGTGTTTCATTATAACGATGTAAAGTTCTTTGCATCTTTGTTTATTTTGCTCTCACACTAAAGATCCCTGCTAGCCCATTTTTCATTCATAACAAGAGAAGTATTGTGTGTTTTTTAAAGAGTAAATGGAATGCCAACCTTTTGTCAAGGAAGTTATTATTTTCTCTGGAGGTAAAGGGATTTCCTTGGCAAAAGGTTGAGGTTACTTTGGTTTTGGAAACAGACTGCTTCCTGGCTGTACAAAGTAAAACATATTTTTAAAAGAATTTTTAAAACTAGCAGCCATTGAGTTCCTATTAAAGACTTATGCTTTTTTAAAGAGTAAATGGAATGCCAACCTTTTGTCAAGGAAGTTATTATTTTCTCTGGAGGTAAAGGGATTTCCTTGGCAAAAGGTTGAGGTTACTTTGGTTTTGGAAACAGACTGCTTCCTGGCTGTACAAAGTAAAACATATTTTTAAAAGAATTTTTAAAACTCGCAGCCATTGAGTTCCTATTAAAGAATTATGCTTGATGGTTTATGTAGAAATGTTTCTGAAATACAGAGAGATTTGTAACCTCATGCTTTAATAGCCACAGAATTAAAAACAAAAGGCACAACATATTTGATATAAAGCCGAAGCCATAAAATCTTATTTGTTAGGCCTACCCTATAATTGTTTTATTTATCCTAACTAAAACCTTATGTTATTTAAAACAAACTTTTAAAACCTTTAATATTTAAAAGAAAAAAAAAACATTTCCTCTCAAATATTCTAGAAATTGAATCCATAATTTAAATACTGACTTCTTTTTGGAAATTCAGTTTTTGTTTAACCACCCATAGTCACTTCAAGAATAAATTCATTGTATTCCTAAAATTATTTATACAAAATATTTCTGTATAATATATAAGGGTGTTTTTTAAGTAGAGGGCATGTGTGCTGACCAGAGAGAGACAGAGAGTCAAGAGAGAAAGGGAGAGGATAAAGTTCCCTTTTCATGGGAAATGGTCACACTGCAATCTCATCTCTTTCATCTCACTCTCCTCTCTGGATTTTGGACATGCATGCACATGTGGCCAGCTTATTTCTCAAGCTTCTGCATCTGGAACTCCAATCACATGGTCAGTCATGTGGGATCCAGCTATTTAAACCACCAGGCCATGAAGCCAGCCCAAGGTTCTTTTTTTTTTTGGAGAGGTTTTTGCTATAGGGCGCATGCACTCACCAAAAAGACAGAGAGACAGAAAGCAAGAAATCAACCCTCAAGGGGGATGGCCACACCGCAATCCTTCTCCTCTATTCTCCTCTCGAGATCTTGGGCACACACGCACATGCACCCAACATGAGTTTAAGTCACCAGGTCTGGGACTTGACCCACAGTCGACTACATGGGAATTCAGCGACATAGCCATTACGCTAACTGCTGGTTCCCCAGCCCAAGGTTCTTACAATCTTTTAAAACAACTCAAAATAGACAAAATGCTTCAGTTGCTTAGATTGGTCAGTATTATCATTCTGTCAAAAATTTAAAAAGGTACTTTATAGAACTAAAACCACTATAAGGCAAGAAATATTTTTTATAGCTTACTTTCTAATATGTCTATTTTTTTAACTTTCATTGCAAGAAGGTGTGTGCATTTGCTACAGAGAGGGAGAGAAAGCATCCCTTACAGGATTATGATCACACCACAATCCTCCATTTCTCTATCCAATGGGATTTTAAACATGTACACCCAGCATGTTTTTCAAACTGCTGGAGCTAGGATTTGAACTGCAGTTGGCCATGTAGGATCCAACTCCCAATGCACAGTGCTCAACCACCACACTATGGGGCAAACCCTCTAACACTTTTGAAAGAACGGTCTTTCTTGTGTTTTATGTAGACGTTTTCAACAAATATGACTATATTGTTCCTTCTAATTCTATAATTTAGCATGCATAGGTTCAATTCTCTTTGAAATACTGATGTTTCCTCTATTTACTTTAAATATTAGCACAGTTATGGATGTTGGTGAACTTTGTAGAATTCCTATTAACACCTGTTTACCTTTAGCCTGTATGTAGGAATTTATTCAAGTATTCATTTCTTTATGAATATATAGTAGAACATATGCCCATCAGTTGACTACGCTTTGAAAAAAAAAAATCATAAAGACTAGTGGTAAAAATTGCATAGTCTAGGCCAGCTGGTGGCATGATGATTAAGGCAGCTGAATCCAACATGGCTAACTATGCGGTTTGAGTCCCAGACCTGGCAGCTTGTAAAGTGTGGCAAGCTCATATGCTTACATGTCCAAAATCTTGAAAGGAGAGAGGAGATTGCAGCAGGACCATCCCCCATGGCAGGTGCCTTCTCATTTTCTCTCTCTTTCTCTCTCCCCATACGCATGTGTTCTAGTGAATTTAAAAAAAAAAAAGAAAGAAAGAAAGAGAGAAAGAAAGAGAGATTGGATAGTTTTATCATGAATAAAGCCAGCTCATCTTATAGTCAAGTCATTCATTTAATATAAGTAACTGAATATTGTCTGCAGACCTATTGATGTCAAAAATCTTCTTCCGTGACTCAGAAATCCAGCTACTTGTGGATAAGAGTGGTCAGATATGGTAAAGGAAATAAAGGCCATTCCTGGTCACATTAGGGTCATCCCAGTATCTCTTAGATGTCTGTAATATAAGTAATTATTTGCCAAGGGAATAAATGACAAGAGTACAGTTAATAATTTTATGCCATAAAGTACAAATTTCAAGTAAATCACCTCAATAAATAGTCAGTCAAAGATTTGATTATGTTCTGTTATTAGAAATGCAAACCCAAAACCTGCATAGTTTTGGGTTTTTTGGTTTTTGGTTTTTGGGGTTTTTGTTGTTGTTGTTGTTGTTGTTGTTTTTGAGAGTTTTTTGCTATAGGGCGTGTGAGCTTGCCAGAAAGACAGAAAGAGACAAAGAGATAGAAAGCGAGAAATCCCCACCACCACCACCACCACCCCACCCCACC